ATGTCCTCACAAGGATAGTAGATTGTTAAAATAATACTCCTTTTTAAGATCGTTCTTCGACTTCCATTCATTTTCCTTTATTTATATAGTCTAACCCTAACCTAAACTTAATTCATGCCTTAGTTCTAAACATAACCCAACCCACAAATAGGGTGGTCCCTTGTTAGGACCATGCAAAATGTCCTCACAAGGATAGTAGATTGTTAAAATAAGTTCTTACACACAGAACCTGTGCTGCACGTAGCTCAGCTCAGAACGAGCTGTCATATTGTGCTGTGAGGTTTTGTTTGCTGTCAGCACAGATCTGATTCCATCTAAACTCTGATCCAAAACAGCAATATTTAGASAAATCAGACATCTAAAAGGGAAACTGAACAACACGTTAAAACTAAGGTTTATCAAGATGTTTACGCTGAACTACCTGAGGTCAGCATTTAGCAGCAGAAAAGATCAGCTGTGATGGACAAACACTGTTTGGTTAGATCCGACTTTACCTCAAACTCCATGAAGTCAAACTCAGCAGCACACGTGTACATCAGAGTGTGGAAGTCATTGTAACTCGTAAACTTGGACTTGATCAATCCACTGATGTGGGCCTGGAAAATATTAACATTTTGTTCAAATTAGAACCCCATAAAATTACTTTAATTAGTTGAATTGCATTTGGCAATACTCCTAACAGATTAATTTAATAATTTTCATATTTCACGAGTGCTAAGCTCCACTTTCACAGTGTATGAACTGGTATGTGGCTTTAACTTGTGTAAATGAATCAATGTGTACCAATTTGTTTTTGTTTAGTTACACAACATGTGAACATTTAGATATCAAAACTTACTTCCTGTTTTTCTCTACCAAAGWGCAATTTTTGTAGCACAAATCACAGATTCACTATTAAATATGATTCACTTGTTTTTCCCATATAAAGATTCAGAATAACTCACATCATCAGAGGCGCCAAAGACTGTGGACAGCATAAACTTTAGGAGAACCGTGGAGCCGACCCAAGCCAGACCCTGCATAACCTGATGAGGAAAACATTCAATTCATCCTGTAATGAAAGCTTTTCAGCACCACGGGGAGAACAGCAGTTCAGGTAAGTCATGTGATCGACTAGAAACAATGGCATAAAACCAACTCAACGAATAATTTCACTTCTCAAAGCTGGAGCATGCATATCATCTAAGCAAGTGGATTTTTTTCTTCTTTTTCAAGAAAACACATGCAGACAACAACTTTTTCAGTTTGACACCATGCAAATATAAATCTGTATGCAAAAAACACCACTTAGTCAAAATAAAAGCAGGTGTAAAGGACCAAAGACTCGAGTAGAACAACAACCTTAAATACTGGAAATAGATATGAATGTCTTAGGGGTGTGGTGCCTGATTTTACACATTAGAAACAGTAAAAAAATAAGTAAAGCAGTAATTTCTGAAGTAAATTTTAGAAAATTAGTGTCAGGCCATAAGAGTGAGTGCGTTAAAAGGTACTTATCACAAACTATGAAACCAAAAAGCTCTTCCATGGACGTCACCATTCTTTACATTTTTTCCACATTCCATTTCGACATTTTCATATATACAGTATATATATTTTATTAATCAGTTAATAGAACAACAACCCCCCTCATAATACAATACGCGTTCCTCCCAACTTAACCCCTAATTTACACTACATGCGTCTCCGCTCCGTTGCGGTCTGACCTCAGCAGCAAATACACAACTATTCTAATCAATGAGAGTATTCACACTGGCTCCACACGGTGGCSCAGGGYGGAGGTGAGCGGACGGCGATCCGCCAAAATTTGATCCGATCCTATTTTTGCTGAACGCCAGAGCTGCTCCGTAGTAAATCTACAAAGATCACGTCGCACCAACAGGAAAAGGAACAAGCACAGCATCCGTATTTTCCAAATAAGACACCATWAGGTGGAATAATTTTGTCAAAACTGCAGCTATATTAATAAATGTATGGATATATTTCTATACAAATGCTGTTAAAAAGTATCGTTCTGTTAGGGAAGCAGAGGGAAACATGTAGCATGAAGCATATGTGTACACACACGATACTCGTGGATTTTATTTTGAAATTAGAAGTTTCAAAAAGATGACAGCGAGACAGTTTCAACCATAGATATCAAAAGCTTTTATGTCAATGTTTTCATCTGTGTTTGGTGTTCGTTTTTCATGGAATTAATTTTTTTTGCTCTGACTTCCACATCACTGGATGTATCGCGTGATCTCCTTCTTGTGTGTCGCACCGGAGCGGAGCTGAGCGGAGTCGCCTGTAGTGTAAATCCAGTCACACTATGACGTTTTAGCTTATGCTGACTTGTGAAAATTTTGTTATGATTATTTTACTCACTTCAGCTATAAATTGTATTCAATATAATTGTGAGCATACAGTAYGTRTTCAAAAGAGGCTTCCAGTAGATTTTTTTCTAAATTCCATCTTCCATTTAAACATCTTTATTGATGGACAAACTTTYATAAGTTGATATAAGTTGTCTAAAACATTACAGTGTGACAGCGCCTTAATTAGTAAATTGAAAATCCCCCCAAATCTACTCTTCTTTTGGTCGTGTGTCTTTCCATTTTGCTGCTGATAATTGGAACTTTTATCAAAATACACTACATTTCAACACTTTTCATTTTCTGCTTTTACACAGAGACTGAATGACCTTTTTAAGGAGTTATGTAATTGTTTTGCATTGCTAATTGTATGTACTGTWTGTAGGTTGCTGCCCTTTCACCATCGTCCCCTTTCGACTGTTTCAACACTCTCAGACTAACATTGTAAATAAGAAGTTAATGTTTTATCTGGTGAAATAAAGGTTGAACTAAACTAACAAACATCTGGTAACCAATTTTGCTAACAATTTTTTACCATATATGAGGAAATATTTGTGTAGATTTTGTATCTTACTTTATTAACTTTACTGATTTTTGTGACATTGCAATGAGTACCTTTAAGCATTTTTGTAATGAAAGGCAGAAAGAGGAAAAATGTTAATTCTTCATACCCAGAAGACAACGCCAGGCTTGAACACCTGAACGAATAGATCCCTCAAAGCAATGACCATCTAAAACAAACAAACAAACAAACAAAAAAAAACAACATTAACTTTTATTAACAAAAATCAATGTTTAATAACTTGTAATGATTATTTAATGTAAACAAATGTGGTCAAACTCACCCAGATGGAAATGAGCGAGGAGGCATAAAAGGATGTGAGAAGCATGGAGTTACCAAACATCAGGATGAAGCAGACCCCCAGTGTGACCTGAACAACAAAATGTTCTTTATTACTGTAAGCTGTGATGCACAGTCCATCCTGTAGCTTTATATTGTGTTTGTTCTGTGTTTGAGGCCGACATTGATCCAGTGATTTCCAATGAAATGTTGGAAATAACATTTCTGCCTTGGTTACAGCAGGAGGGGTGTCTGGGATATCCGCATTAAGCCATAATAATTCATCTACTGAATGCATTAAACTGTGAATTCACAGCCAAGAGSAGAATATAATCCCATTCACTGAAGTCTTAATACTTAATCTCAATGAAGTGCAGAGAACTGAATCACTCTGCGTTACACAGACAGTGATGACCAACTCAGGGTGTTGGTCTTCTGCAGTTGCCAGAAAGCACAGCAGATTACTGTGGAAGGTTTTAAACACAAATATCATCTCACATATTAAAGCAGACCAATTATGAGTCCTAGATATGTTTATGGTATGTCTGTGGGCTATCCAAACCATGTTCATTCAATTTAATGCACAAAATAATTCTCAGATAATAAAATTTCCCATTTTCTAGTTCT